GAATCACCAATTAACCTCAACATGTTTTTGGACTGTGTAGGAGGAAGCCGGAGAACCCGGAGAGAACCCACGCTGCACGGGGAGAACATGCAAACTCCGCGCAGAAAGATTCCGGTGCCCCCACTGGGACGCAAACCGGCAACCTTCTTGTTGCAAGGCTACAGTGCTAACCAACTGCGCCACCTTGCAGCCCCAAGGAGGACACCATTGTTGAAAACAAATCATAAAAAAGCCAGACTGGAATTTGCCAAACTGTTGACAAGCCACAAAGCTTCTGGGAGAATGTCCTATGGACAGACGAGACAAAACTGGAACTTTTTGGCACATCAGCTCTATGTTCACAGACGCAAAAATGAAGCATATCCAGAAAAGAACACTGTCCCTACTGTGAAACATGGAGGAGGCTCTGTTACGTTCTGGGCTGTTTTGCTGCATCTGCCACAGGGTGTTTTGAATCTGTGCAGGGTACAATGAAATGTCAAGACTATCAATGTATTCTAGAGAGAAATGTGCTGCCCAGTGTCAGAAAGCTTGGTCTCAGTCGCATGTCACAGGTCTTGCAACAGGATAATGACCCAAAACACACACAGCTAAAAACACCCAAGAATGGCTAAGAGGAAAACATTGGACTATTCTGAAGTGGTCTTCTATGAGCCCTGATCTAAATCCTGTTGAACATCTGTGGAAGGAGCTGAAACATGGCGTCTGGAGAAGGCACCCTTCAAACCTGAGACAACTGGAGCAGTCTGATCATGAGGAGTGGGCCAGAATACCTGCTGAGAGGTGCAGAAATCTCATTGAAAGTTACAGAAATCGTTTGATTGCAGTGATTGCCTTAAAAGGTTGTGCAACAAAACATTAAGTTAAGGTTACCATCATTTTTGTCCAGGCCTGTTTCATGAGTTCATTTTTTAAAATAATTCTGTTAAACCACAGTTCAAAAGCAACGTCTGATTTGCATTGGTTAATTTTCATATAATTTTTATTTATTATTACTTTTGTCAGATTCAAGTTGTTTCTGTGACTATTGTGGGTTTTTCTTTCATTAACCGAGGGGTACCAACAATTTTGTCCACATGTGTATTGTAGTTGGAGAGAAAAATAATGGGTGTAAATACACTGAACAAAAATATAAACACCCCATGTCAAATATTGTTGCCATGTGGAATTATCAACTGTAAATGAGCATGTGCTGACATTTTATTGTACAAAAGTAATATTTCTCTTGATTTGTGTATAATTTTTAATCCAACTTGCTGTTTCCAACAGACTGGCACTACTGCAAATCGACCTCATCCTCGTCGGCCACGTGTGACCACTCCAGCACAAGATCGCCACACACATCCGGCTCGTCCATCTGCGGGATCGGCTAAGACCAGCGACACACACAGCTGATGAGACTATTGGTTTGCACAACAGATGCATCACACCTCAGACTGTCCGTAACCGCCTACGAGAAGCCAACTTGCATGCTTGGCGCCCTCACCGTGGTTTGGATCTCACTGCTGTCCGGTGTAGGAACCGACTCGCATGGGCGAATGCACATGTCCGATGGCCCTTGGCACGCTGGAGAAGTGATGTTCACGGATGAATTCAGGCTCCAGTTGTATCGTGCAGATGGAAGACAGCGTGTCTGGCGACGCGTAGGTGAACTTTTTGCAGATGCAAATGTTATGCCCAGGGTTGCCCATGGAGATGGTGGCATTATGGTGTGGTCAGGCATCACATACGGGCATAGAACACCATTGCACTTCATTGAAGGGAACCTTAATGCACAAAGATATCGGGACGAGATTCTCAACCCAATTGTTGTGCCGTTTGTGCGCCAGCATGACATCACCTTTCAACATGACAATGCCTGACCTCATGTTGCCCGCATCTGCATGGAATTCCTTCAAACAGAGGACACTGAAGTTCTGGACCGGCCAGACATGTCCCCAATAGAGCATCTTTGGGATGTTCTGGATAGGCGTGTCCGGGACCGTGTTCCAGTTCCAGGCAATGTGGGTCAGCTCCGTGTGACACTCCAGGAGGAATGGAATAACATTCCACAGGCCACCATGGACAATCTGATCAACTCCATGTGAAGAAGATGTGTTGCTCTGAGAGACGCAGCTGGCGGATACACAAGATACTGAAAAATCCAACCTGACCCCTATCATGTTCAAAGGAGTGTCAATCCACTACCACTACCACGATGTTATCAATGCCGATATGAGGATCAGTAATTACTGAAAATATATTTTGAGTTTCTCGATATATTGCGTAACCCAAATGTTCATTAAACTCTTATATTTGACATGGGGCGTTTATATTTTTGTTCAGTGTACTACCCTGTCATAGGTTTGTTTGGATTTATGAACCCTCTATGTACTCATGAATGTCACTTGCATGTACACTTTCAAGTATGGATCTCAATTTCATTTATGGGTATTTATAAGCAATGATTTTGCTAATTCATGCTGTTTATGAGGACAGGAGCACAGTATAACCCATTTATTTATGGAAGATTAGTTTGAACCGTGTCGAGTGACCGGTGGCATTCAGCTACATCAGAAAAAGTAAAGATGATTTTTTTTAGGATCTAGATGTCCAAGCTTCAACAATGAATTAAACAGGGGATGGTTGGATGTGTTTTTGCATGTAGCATCAGCAATACTGTTACTTTTTGCTTTGATGTGTAATGTACTTCACCTATTCATCATGTTCACTATTTTGGATTGCTTTAATACAAGTCCTCATCATTCACATCACTTAGCTTTGCATTTAATAAAAGGAGGGACTTTAACTACTAACCCAGCAAAACCAATCAGATATACAAAGTAATGGAAACTGTTCACTACAATCCACCTACACTCTGAGGATAACCCACTTTTTTCATGAAACATTTCTAAATCTTGACGTGCCAATCCATCTAAAGCAAACGAAAGGTGTTCATCATAGCAGATCAAAACCACATTCCAGTTTCATTTGTGATAACTGACTTCTAAAATCTGTTGCACTGCCAGGACAGAAAACAGCTGCCTACACTACAAATTCCTGAGCATCAGGTACATCCAAAGACAACGAATTAAACATTTGTACAGTGTATTGTTTTTAATGCAAGAATGCAATACCCACAGATACCATGATTTCTAAGGGATGATATAGTGAAGAAAAAAAATGTTTGCATTATGACATAACAAAAGGACACTTTAGGCCGAACCAAACTAGAGATCATCTTGTGATGGGACCACACCAGCCGTGACGCCCACCTACACACACCAGCTGAGAGAGCGTAGCCTGTTTCAACTAGTTAGATATATAAGTGTGGTCGGAACTACCGCCAAGGCTGTTTGGAGTATTTGGGCAGGTGTAAAAAACAAAGACCACGTTTGATGCTGGGTGTGGTCTGACCTATGTGTGCTTCCATACTAATTACATTTGGTATACGTACTAAATGTAATTAATGTGTTATTACACAAGCACACGCTGACAGGAGCTGAAGTTGGTGTAATTCCATCACCTTGTAAACGTCATCATTCCAAATTGCCATCCTAGAGACACCTATAGCAGCGAGAACTATTTCACTGGCAGTTCTAAACGCTTTGCCTGGTGCTTACATGTCGGATTTTGTCAACACATTAACTGTGCAATATGTGGTCATAGAAGTTTACAGGTTGTGCTGTTGTGATGATATCTTCCTGACCATCTCTGTACACAGGCAGACACATGAGCATCTGAACAAATGCTCAAAGCAGTCTTTGTGTTAGTTCGGGCTAAAGTAAATGTCTCCAGGACCACATTTGGCCAGAATGACACCAAAGATGGGCAGACTCACAGGGTGAAAATTACACCAGCTCCACTGTCGCAGCTGGTAACGACCCAAGAGGATAGTTTAAGGAGCACAGGTGTCAGAATCTGTTCCTAATACTACAGAAGGCAACACAAGTAAGACTGAAAAAAAGGAATTAAATCACGCACAGTAGTTGTTTCCAAACACACTGAGAATTTCTTTGAGCTGTCAACTAAATGAATCTATTGCAGGGATAAAGTTATGCAAAAAAACAAGCTTACATAAAAACCAAGGTGTTACATGTGCATTTTCTGTTTTTTTTTACACACTAAGAATCATTACCACAATACTTAAAACACTGGAGTAAACACAGGTTTGCTGATAAGACTTGGGTCCAACGTGCATTTAGTGCCACTGGTTTGCTTTTTCTTGATGTTCCCTTGTTTTTTTTCCCCTTCTGACTTTACTATGTGCCTTTTTTTGCCATGTAAACATGAGCAGGCAAGTGCAGGAATGAAGGCTAAATAAATCCTAAACGTTTACAGAGCAACCAAAGCTGCATCGAATGGCCAACTCGGTTGATTAAAAATAGTTTTTAAATGACCTGACTCGATTCATAAATCATATTCTGTAATCTTTTAAACGATTTGACACGCTGCAATTTAAAACATTTGGACTTTTACAAGAACAATTAAATATTTTGGGAATGACTTCTTACAGAAGTGAGATGATAAGATTGATACTGCTCCTGTCTGTTATCAGTAGTACTGATTGTAAATATCAAGGTATAGCCAGTGAGTTAAGCTCCTTGTAGAATAACTCCAAAGGGCTGCCTGCCTACCTGCGTTGTCTGTACACTTCGTTTTTTTGGATGACTTAAGCAAAAAATATAGAATGTATTAATGAGATATAGAGGTGCTGGTAGGCATATTATCAATCTTCCCATCTGACTCTGAAGAAGAATCGTGAACCCCAAAACATTGTAGAACTCCATTAAAGACCTGAGCCTCATCGTAGCACCAATAATATGACTGGCATGGTTTCCATTGTTTGTGATGCACCTAAATCAAATCAAGATATCCGGATTATTTCTACAATGATTAATTCATGTCTATAAATGCTTCTGACAGCAACTTCAATTGAACAGTTATTTGTGTTGGGAGATGTGGGTGGAATGAAAACAACTGAAAAGAGCAACCTTAAATTTAAACACTCAAGCAAAATTCAGAAGCTCCACTTCAAAGATGAGAGTGGAATTTGCGGGGATGATGGGTGGGTATCCTTTGCTGCCATACGCATAGTCCGGCGAGCAGGTCAACTTGGCCACCTCACCGAGGCTCATCTGTGGAGGCAGTGAACAGCAAGTTATGAACAGTTAGTGAAACAGTTTTAATGCAGAAAGGCTCATTTGTTTGATGGCAGGGAAATGCCAGTGATTTACATTTCTATAAAAGGTGTATTTAAAAAAAAAAAAAGAAGAACAGTAATGGTCAACATCAATGCAGCAGAAGCTAAGAGAGCCTGACTTTTAGACCCTAATAGGGATCAAGCTCCAGAAACACTGCTCTTTACAATTCCTGTCAATTATTGCCCACTGCATGCAGACATATCACAGTCCTGCCCGCATTGTGTAACACACTTTGGGTTCCTGAATGCTTAATTTTCACTTAAAAGCTGGTACAAATTCTAGCCTTGATCACTCTTTAAATGATTTCTTATTCCAGACTTCAGAAATTTCCAAACCTACTGAAGACATAAAATTGCTGTTTTCACAGTACAGATAAAATACTTAGATAATAGACTGTAAGAAATATGATATTGCACAAACGGGGCGTTGTTATTGGAAAGCAACATTTGATGGTATAAGGCACAACTGTCCCCTAAAGTGTAACATAAATAGTTCACTATACATGTAGCTGTTGCAGCATGGTGAGGTTCTAAATGGCTCTAACTATTAAACACTCCCACCTACAGGAGAAAAGGACTAAAACTAGATCCGGTACACCTGTCCGTTGGTTTGCCTTAGTTGAAGAGGCGTTACATCTGATTTAAAAGGTGAACTCATGGCAGGTGATGGCCCAGAGTACAGATTTTTCTTTGTTCGGTCTGTGCTGAGCGGCTAGATAGGTAAATCTAAATCTAAATCTGTCTCAATAGATAGGTAAATCTAGCAAGCCACATATCAGGCTGATGTCAGGGAGGCACAAGAGGAGGAGAAGATTAATTAGTGAACAGACTCTTCCTTCAATGCTATCTGTGGTAACACTGATTAATAAAAGGGGATGTCTGATCTCTGTTTAGATGAAGACTCTGGAAGTAATAGTGCAAAGGAATCACTTGTATCTAAAAACAAGAATGACCATGTTTGTCAAGAAAAATAGCAATTTAATAAAGTTTTTCCCCAATCATTCAACCCTACATGAGGACCTTAAAGTCAATGCCTCAATCAGGCTTTTGTCATGGAACATGGTAACAGGCAATCGGATCCCTGTGTACATTTAGTGGAGTGACCCTTGGACGTCCCTCTCCTTACCTGAGCTACACCCTCGTCCCAACCACGAATCACTTGTCCTTTTCCCAGTTTGAACTCGAAGGGATCTCCCCGGTCCCTGGAGGAGTCAAACTTCTTTCCATTTGTCAGCGTTCCTGTTCGAAATCAGCCATAAAATAGTATGTTAGTCATACATATTTCCCCCCCAAACACCAGTGATCGGAGTGTTTGTGTTGTAGCATTTTAAATACAACGCGAATCTGTGTGAAAACACACCGGTGAATGCACATAACGCTGCACTGCTTCAGCAGTTCGACATTTTAGGACGTTGGCGTGTTTGTGCATTAGGCGTGAAGCTGCTACAGGATACAGTCATTACGGTGTAACTTCGCACTGCTACTGGGAATAAAAGCTAGCTTATCTCAAGCTGGCTATTTTTTTTATTTTTTTTTAAGTTTAGTTTGTGTACACGTTCAGTGGTGAATTTTAGAGAAGTGTGCGCGTTGGCATGTTTGATAGCTTTTAGGACAGAGCCTTGCTATCCTCCACCTTGTTTTCAGACTCTGTGCTAAACTAAGCTAAGCTAAACTAAGCTAGGCTAGGCTAAGCTAGCTGTAGCTTCCTCCTACCGTGCGGATAAATGGCACAGATTTTCTCACCCAGCTCTGTCTTTGTATTTACCAAATGGCTCTGGGGTTTTAATTAGAATCTTTTAACCCGCTACAGTGGAGGAGGATTAGTTAAAATGAAAATGAATTCATTTAAAAAACCTTTGGCCAGTGCGAAATAAAGCGAGGCTTACCGACGTAGTGCACGGTAACCGTCTGCCCTTTCCCTGGGTAACTCGTCCCTAGAGGGAGAAAAACACCGGTTAACTGATCCAGATTGAAAAATAATTACAATATCAAAGTTATAGAGTTACTTCAATAAAAGATATCCTTACCATCCCCGGGTTTTATGACCTCGACGTCGACTCCCATTGTTCTTTCGGCGTATCGTTGCTGTGCCTGCAGCTGTCGGACTGAGCTGTGCTACATGCAGCGGGTTGGCTCGATCGGGGAAGCCTTCCTCTGGAACATGTCTCACGTGGTGGGGAGGGCCTGGCACGGCGGCAGGATGCATATCTGTCTGTCTCTGTATACACAGCAACACAGGAGCCGGGTCGAGGACGGTTGTATGCTGGTATCTAAAAAGTAACGCACCATGGCTTTTAGTAGCTTCATCCAACCGAAACAGGGGCGCAGTCGTGAGGTTTTCGAACTTAACCAGGGGCTCAGAAGCCCCGGAGAGGTGCACTGTGAATGATCAGGCTGTCATTTGTGTAAACTGGCTCAAGACAACCTAAAAGTCCGGTTACAGTGAATGGATGTCACAACAGTCCTTACCAACGTCCTTCTTTAACCAGGTGGTCTTCATCAGGCTTTAGGTGCTCTCTGTAAAAGAGTGATGCCTTCAATGTACAGGTTGTTCAAATGAAGAACGATGATAAACATAGCACATGATTTTGATTTAAAAAAGCAGCAGCATTACTGCAAATGATGTAGTGAAGAGTGCTCAGAGAAAACACTTTTAAAAACCATGTAAGACAACACGTTTATTTGACCACACATTACACTGTCAGTGCAGCTGCTTGTTTCCATCAGGACAGCTGCACTTTCTCAGGTTTCAAACTTCACACATTTAAACGTGGTATATAAGAAATGCAGTTAGGTCCCATCATAAAGAATATGTGCAAATCACTTCAATTCTTGGCCAAAGCAAAGTTGATAAATGTGAATTTTTGAATATTCTGTGATAAGTTTGACTCACCAGTCTGCATGAGACAGTATAAGCTTGGCATTGTCTTTAATGGACTGTGATGCGTTTTTTTTTGGTTCTGAGCTTAACGTCAAACCACTTTTTAAAAATTTTGCAGCCGATCTGTCCTCTGACCCAACAGAAATAACTGCGGTGGTTATCTTGTCCCATGCAGCATTTTTTTTTCTTTCGCTGCTCATCCCAACATTTCACTCACCAAACAATATTTTCTGGTTTGCTTCAACCTCATTGACAAGTACCTCGATCTCAGTTTCAGAAAAGTTCCTCTTTTTCACCCTTTTTGTCTCGATGATGACGACAGGTGAGGGAAAAACAAATCTTCACTTGCTTTATAAAGAGACGTGTTGTTGCCCTATATGGTGATTTGAAGGACTTTCTGAAGGCAACGTGCACGGTGGTTAAGAACACGTGAGATTTATCAACACTGATGTGCGTATGACCCCCATATGCACTTTGATAAATACAGGTTTTTTTGTACTTATGCACGCTCTAAATTTCATGTGTACGACAGACTTTAGAACCTTTTCTACGCACTGATGATCAATGAGGCCCCAGGATTGCTCTTTGCCTGTATATTGATGATTTTGAGGTGGCTAACCCCTTGGGAACCAGCAGAAAAAGAAAAAAACAACAACAACAAAAAAACACAAGTTAACTGCCATCTACTTGGTACTTGTCAATTTACACCCTAAATATTGCTCCTCTCTTCATTGCCTTCAGCTTGCTCTGCTTTGCAAAGTCAGCAACATCAAAGACCATGGTTATGGTGAAATTCTTCAACCTTTCATTCAGGACCTTGTTTTTCTTGAGCCACAAGGTATATATGTTGAACAGTTGGGAGCCACTGTTCAGGGCACAGTGTTATTTGTAGCAGCAGACAATCTGGCAGCCCTTTCTTTGGAAGGGTTCTTTGAGAGCTTCACAGTTAGCCAAGTGTGCCGGTTCTGTATGGCCAAGTGAGAGGACATTCAGCACAAGGAAGTACGGACAGGCTTATTTCAACAAAGAACAAAAGAAAACCATGGCAAACGTGCAAGAGGTGTGGTGGGATTCAACCAAAGCTCAACAATATGGAATATAACGAAGCTGTCCACTTAGTGAAAACTTGCAACATTTTCATGTTGTTGATGGTTACCCTCCAGACCTTTTGCATGATCTTCTGTTGGATCCTGCTCAGGGCTACCAGAGTTCAGACAAATCAAAGATTGTCATTATCAACACGGACGTAGCATTTGTCTGCACACTGATGACTCGTGGTATGATGAGCAACTTAGAGCGTATGACCTCTGTAGCAGCCATTTGACCCCTTTCAATCACCCAGTTGTCTGAATTGAATGATATTTTTCCTCTGTCACTTTACAGAGTCCATGGCAAACAGCTTAATACACTCAAATGGTACATATTATGCTGAGTGGATGAAACACTGAAATGTTGCCTGTATCAGAAAAAGTTCACTTTTTTTTCCACAGGAGGTGATATCAACATGGACCAGAGATTGATGCTTCAAGTTGTCATAGATGATGACGACATGAAGGAAGATAACCTTAAATTAGAGACCAGATTCTGTTGAATTAGAAACGCAGCTGAAGGATGCTCCAATATGAAGACCCAGACTTTAATAATGCGCTCTGCAATTTGATTCAAATAACAGATTTGCCTGAAAGAGCAACGCTCAAAGTAATTCCTTGTGTGACTCTTGAGTTGACCCCGTCTTCACCCACCGTAGCATCAGAATGCAGCACAGTAGACATGGAGATCTTGTCCACTGCTGGATTGCCACCTTTGCTAAGAAGACAATCCTTTGAAATACCCAATTTCTCAGTGCATGTAGAGTACCGACTGAGACAGACAGACCCTTCATTCATGAAAGACTGTCTCCAATGACTCCATCGCGAGAAATGAAACATGACATATTTGAGAAACTTGCTGAAACAATGTACAGTTTCAAGGCAACAATGATGACTTCAGTGTTGCACAAGCACTGATCAGCAAGCACCCCAGCCTCACTGAACCAGGTCCCCCGGCAGGATGGTATGACTGGCAGAACAGTCTGAAATTCAAGATGGCCAACTACCGTACAAAGCTACGAAAAGCAAGATGTGATGATGTAATGATCAGTGGGGGTAAACGAAGGAAACGCCACCCAGACGGAGAATCATCCAGCAAGAATATCAAGCGGCCAAAAAGAGGTGAAGCCAACTAGTTGCCTAATCTACCTGATGGACATGATGAAAGAAGCCTTGAAAATGCCAGGAAGGTTATCACAGAGGAAGTGAAGAAAAAACAACCCGATGCCACTCTAGCCTCGCAAATGATGGACCAAACGTTCCCACTACTCAGGAGGGAGATAGTGACACAGGAGCCTGCTGTGCAGAGCATGGTTGAACGATGGCCAGCACTTTTCAGTGGGAGACAGGTGAGTTACTAGTTTGTTTTGGCCTTCCTTCCCCCATAAAGTTTCCAGCAGAACAAATGTCGGTCAGAACACATATCAAACATGTCAAAGCTGTGAGGTCAGAAATATTAACCTTTTTTCAGTTTAATGAGTGAATATTTGAGTTTGTAATGAAAAATGCAAACACTGCTATTTTTTTTAAACAGCCCAATATAATTTTTTCCTTCATTTTCTGTAATTAAAAATTGATACACTTCTCTTCATGTTTTGATGTAAAATATAATGTGCAGTGTTCCCAGTGAATAAAAATAAAAAATATTATAAGGATTTTGAGCTTTACTCAGACAAAACTGAGGTTATTGTATTTGGCCCTAAACACCTCAGAAACTCACTATATGACCAGATAGTTACTCTAGATGGTATCGCCTTAGTGTCTAGTTCCATAGTAAAGAACCTCGGGGTTACTTTTGACCAGGATATGTCCTTTAACTTCCATATGAAACAAACATGTAGGACAGCTTTCTTTCATCTTCGTAATATTGCCAAAATCAGGAGCATCCTGTCTCAGAGTGACGCTGAGAAACTAGTCCGTGCATTTATAACCTCGAGGCTCCCATGATGCACTGGGCTTCTCTCCTCTCCTCTCCTCTTTATATATATATATACATATGTGTGTGTATGTATGTATATGTTTCTATAGTTGCCTATCACCATTACATATGACTAACTCTGTGACTCCACCCGAGGTTCTCCTGCGCCTGCTCTCTCTGTGGATGTCTCTGGATCTGGAGCTCCTGAACTACAGCCGCTGGCCTCACCTTCTGTATCCTGCTGCCCCACCATGATGCCTCCTGTTACAAAAGGACAATAAATTCTAATAACTTGTTTAATTGTAAACTAAATTGTATAATTCATTCCACTCTCACCCAACCGGTCAAGGCAGATGGCCGTCCCTCCCTGAGCCTGGTTCTGTCGGAGGTTTTTTTTTCCCCTGCAGGGGTTTTCGGTTCCTTCCCACTGTTGCGGACTGCTGAAGCTTATAGGGAATCCAAATGTTTTGGATTGTTGGGTGTTTCTGTCTCTGCCTTTGTGAAGCGCTTTGAGATGACTTGTTGTTGTAAATATGCGCTATACAAATAAAATTGAATTGAATTGAATTGAACTTTACTCACATTTTAAAAAACACTGCTATTATTTTGAACATAACTGTATATGTACCTATAGACTATATGGATTATAGTAGTGAATTGTTGGATAAACAGATTTTCTTATGATCACTGTGATGTAAAAAAAAAAAAAACCCTCAACATTTGATCATATTCAAATAGCTGTATTGTTACTGCGTTTTTATACTTTGGATAGCATGACAAACAGATTTTTAATCTGAATCCTCTTCGAAGAGGTAGGCATGGAGGTCCTCCTTAGGGCGGACAGAGGTCTTCTCAGTGACTTGGATAGGCTGCTTGACGAGGAAGGATCTGGGCTTGAGCTGTCTACCAGTCTAAAAGAACACAAGGATGAAGTTTTAACTATTAATCTAATTGCTGACACGGACATGCTATGAGAAGGAAAGAGACAGATCATTTCAGTATTTTACAAACTAAAAGCTGTAGCTGTGTGAAGCTTGGTCCATCTGTCAGGTTGTATAAATGTTTCTCCAAATTACAACCATGTTCCCCATGAACCCTGTGTTACAACAACACCCCATTGAGCTGTATTCTAACAGATGTCCCACCCATCTAGATCCTTTTCTTCAGGATCGCTGAAGTTTTATCTTATCTTGTCTTGTCTTGTCTTGTCTTGTCTTACTTGTCCATGGGATACATGTAGTGTAGGATGCAATTAAAATGAATGTGATTATAATTTATTCATAATGCAAAACACCTGCTATTGTGTGGTTTAAAAAAAAAAAACCTCATACAAATTCACATACTGGTACAAAATGTTGTATGTATCGATTTTTTAAGTAACTCACAATTTTCTTGGCTTCACTCAGGGATCTTCTACTGCACCTCTCCTTCATTTCTTTTTTTTTCTCCATCTCCAGTCGCTGCTTTTCCTCACGCAGCCTGGAACGGGAAATAGCATTCAGGAAGAGGAGGGGTTTTCACATGACATCGGAGTAGCATCACTCATTCACTCACTAATTTATAATGTGTATTGTAAAAAACAAATATCTAAAAATGAAGGTGTATGTTCAGTAACAAACCTGCTCCTCTTCTCCTTGTTCTGAATATGCCTCAGTTTCTTCAAAGTGTCTTCAGGGATGCTCTCGATTTCGTCGAGCAGCAAAGACATTTGGTACTCAACACAAGCCAGCTTCTCGATGGTGCTGAGGTTGTTCGGACGGCTGTCAACGCAGCTTGAATATAGTTCTGCTACCATGCTATCCAGATCGTCCGACACCTTATCCTGGAAGTAAGAGGATTGTTGATAGAGGAGGCAGGAAACAAGGAACAATAGAAGAGCAGGGATCAAACTTAGCAATGCTGGATTAATGGGTGTTGGAATCACCAAATGTGACTTTTGATTTGAAATAGGGTGACGTGTAAAAAAGCGCAACCTGCACATTGTGTCTTCTTACCTCGTTCTGTGTTTTCATTGATTCGTAGAGCTGAACCTTCTGTTTGAACAGCGCAGCTCTCTCCTGTTCCATGACAATTTTGCGCTTCATGTCATCTACCTGCAACTTCAGCCTCTCTTCACTGGTTTTACTTTGGACAGAGAGAAGGTAGAATTGGGTGGAAGGTTTTGTATTTAGTATTTTGTGCCTTTCGTGTCTATACATTATCCAGAGTGCTGTTTATCCCAAGCTGCCTTATGTGTGTTATGTTACATGCTTCTTTGTTGTGGTTTCTCCCTTTTTTCTCTTTTCTCTTGAAATGTTAATCAAGCTTTGTTAATTGCTGTATTTTGTGTCTGCATTTTGTGTTATTTTTAACTTTTAAAATCAGTCAGTCAGGTACCAAAATTTAAAACAAGCCTCAAGATACACTGTATGCGATTCTCACATTTTCTCCTTGGCTATCTCAATGTCGGCCTCCAGTGTCTCATCCACAGGGGTGCAGTTCTCAGTCAGAGACAGGATCTGGTCTGTCAGAATTGATAACTGAGCCGCCAACTGCTGGGGATCAGAGAAGTACAGCTCAGCTCCTGTGGGAAACCCTGAAAAAACCTTCTCAAGTTAGGGTTCCGATAAACGATTGACGAAAACTCCATTTTTTGTTTTTTAAAATCAGCCTTAAGTAACTTATGAGGGGTCAAATCAGGGTTTGTTCATGATTCTGAGTTGATTGTTGGCATTTATGTTTCACCACAAACACTCCATTGTTGAAAAAGGCCACATTCACTTTTACATTTACATTCACAGTCGCTTATATTTCACACACTTATATAATACTCAGGTATTTCTCGTTCACAATGTCAGAAGCTTCAAGAGTCATTGTCTATGTCTTCTTCAGACTCAACAACATCATGACTGCAGTTTCTGCATGTAATGCCTTTACAGACTCCACAGGCCCAGATACACGTGACCCCATTCTTCTTGCAGCTGCACGGCCAGTTGCTGCAATCTCCGTGATAATTACAGCTCGTCAACTTCAGTAGCTCCTCAGAAGCCATGGGGTCTGGTGTTGGAACTGGCTCATACCCATGCACACCTAATGTCCGTCCATAGTCACTGGGGTTCAGAGACATGCTCAGTAGAAGGATCCAGGCCCGGTTATGCAGATAGGCACGGAGTGAATGCTGTGCAGCTGCACCCTCTGTTAGAGGTAGATCTTCTGGTTTTGGTAACTCCTGCCGCCATCTTTCTTTAGAACGTGTTGTAGCAAATTTGACACAGAAATACAATTGTTATTATTATTTTTAAAAATATTTTTAGTACAGCAATGCCTCATACAAAGAGCTTCAAGTCTGTGTGCAGTTTCAGCGCATTATTTCCATCAGGAGGTTACAAATATAGGAGTGAAACTAGAAAAATAGGGAAACCATCTATCATTCTTTATCTCAGTCTGTCTTTAAACAATGCCAAAACACACGTATGATGCCATAATTATAATATTTCTACTCTGAGATGTATTTCAAGTGAATGATGCACATCTAATTTCTCCATAATTATTAGTCATCTTTCTGTAGTCCTCCTCCCTGTTCTGCACACACGTGGGCAGACACCCTCACATTCTCGGTTATTGATTGCATCTGAAGCTTTTTACCTTCTCCCTTACTCACAGCACACACACAACTGCACAAATATGCGCCAGATATTCCCAGCCTTTTGGCTTTCAGCTTGCCCTTTTGGTTCACAGCACTTTTATGAGTGACTGCTTCACAACCTCATGTGATCCTCCTCATATTTGAAATATCAGCACAACAGGACCAAACACTTGTCAATAAAGTCTTCTCAATTCAATACACCTGCCTTTGCCTTGAGATTCCATCAGGACTTACAATATGCTACGAGGCCAGGATATTCTATTTTTTTTTCTCCCCCCAAGAAATGTGCTGAATAAAGGGTAATGATGCATCAGATAAAATTTTCAATGCATTTTACAATCTCTCTGATATCTAGCTGTCTGAGTTGTTATAGAATTGTTACATTAGTACTTATAATTGAGATCAAGGGCGTCACCTCATTGCTTCTGTCAGATGACTGAATATGAGATGAGTCAAACTTCAAAGAGCTCCTGCAAATGCAGACCCACCTCCTATTGTACAGTATAAATGCACTCACTGTCATCAAGTGGAAGAAATGAACCTATCCCAGATGACTCAGGGTGAAGTAACATCATGAAGTAACATGAAGTAACACCAGTCTATCACAGGGCCACACTTAGAGACAGACAACCAAGCACACTCCCATTCACACCTACGGACAATTTAGAATCACCAATTAACCTCATCATGTTTTTGGACCTTGTGGGAGGAAGCCGGAGAACCCGGAGAGAACCCATGCTGCACGGGGAGAACATGCAAATTCCACGCAGAAAGATTCCGGTGCCCCCACCGGGACACGAACCGGCAACCTTCTTGCTGCGAGGCAACAGTGCTAACCAACTGCGCCATCCTAAAAAAATGCTCAGTCACAACCACTAGGAGGAGGGGAAGACAACACAAGTATGACATTGAGCGTAGCAGCAGTCCCGCTCATCCAGTCTGACTGTATGGTGTGACTGCACCACATCAGTCTGCTGTCTGGAAAAACACTGCGGCTTGTTTGTTTTCCTTTAAACCAATCACCAGTCGTCGTGGGCGGGGCTAAGGAAAGTCGGTGTTCACTCAAAATGGGGACGGCTGGAACTGTCGTGGTGGAACATTTGCACGCACGAAGACGAACAATTAAAATGAATATTCCAGCACCAAAAATGAAAACAGCTGCCTTAATGCACGACTCAAATCTTCGACAAATATAATTTTAGTTTCATTTTCAGTGCGTGTAAGATGCTGTTGTTGTTTCTTGTGGCGAAGAAAACCGTAACACACAGATAGCGGAAGGAAGGAAGGTAGGGAGAATCCTGCTGACTGAGCATACAACCGCAAACTTCCTTCTTTTTTTTTTTTTTTTTTAAAATATGACTATATTGACAATAATCAAGCTTACAGGCTCAATCGAGCAGTTTATAAACAAAGAACAGAAACCGGTAAAATAGAGATCGAACACTGAAAGCTAATACATTAAGTGAAATACAAAGATACACAGACAATTACCTTCAGTTTATTGTAAAACCGCAAACTACACCCTGTGAGTCAGACTAAGACCAACAGAAACACTGAACTGGCTTTTGAGAATTCCTTCCGCCCAATAAACAAAACCAAACACCAGATGAATGATGACTTGTTTGCATTTTGTTTTTTTTACTTTGTTTTTTTTTTGCACAACATTCATATACCTCTTCCCTTGTCTTGTGAAACTTGCCATGATGACTTTCAGTAAACATGAGATTTATATTTATTGTGATGTGTGTTTAGTTACCATCAGTTTAACCCTCATATATTTTTCAGTTTCAACATGAAGACGACATATCTTGGCTCGCTATACTTCTCACACATCAAATTATATAAATGTTTTAGGCCTCAAAAGTTGGTGAAATGTTTATCCAAGACTGTAGACTAGATTTTTTATAGGTCCTCTGGAAAAATGCCTAAATCTGCTACGTCAAAAATACAAACACAGCAGTACAAATATTTTCTTAAATGTCCTTTGGCCATTTTCACTCAACCAGGTGTTTTTAGGAGCTGTACACATGCTTCTGGCAAGCTCCTGCTTGTATTTTTGACCACTCATTTTAACAGAATTGGTGCAGTTCCACTATATTTGTTGGCTTTCTGACACAGTGTTACGACTGCGGTCATATTTGTTTATGGAATCTTATTATTTCCCGTTGTGATTGCCTAGTTGTGTATAGTTAATTTTGTGAATGGAGTGAGCTGCTATCTTTTTTATGTTAACCTGTTTTTTCATGTTTATGTAAGGTAGGGATGCCAGACTTTGTGTTTATTTTCGATCATTTTATTTTTGATAGGCAAGTTGGTTCTCCCGTACTTTAGCGTCGTTTTGGTTGTTATTTTTGGTAGAGCTCACTCTTATTTTAAGTTAATCATTCCCTTTGTTTTAACCCCACATTTATTATAAATAAATCATCATTTGTCCTGATAAAACTGCTGTGGTGTGGCTGCTTGGGACCGGAGAGGGATGGCGCATTCGTGTTGCTTTCAGGTGCCCCAAGACTGGGCCTAACACACAGACTTGTTTTTCTTAATAGTCCACATATTCTCGGTTGGGTTTAAGTCGAGACTTTGGGGACACCAGTCTAAAACCATAATTCTAGCTGATTTAACCATTTCGTTGCCACTTTTGATGTATGTTTTGGGTCTTTTTCTTGTTGCAACACCCAACCGTGTCAGGTCTTCCTGCATGGCCGCCTCTCAGCCCATGGTGATGTAAAACAAACTCGAGTGTAGACACTGACACCTGTATTTCAGACCTACTTTTTGGTGATTCTTGGTTGACCTTTGACCACACTGATCAGTTTTCTCTCAGCAGCAGGTAGTAGTGTGCATTTTTTCCTTTATTGTGGCAGTGACACAACTGTGCCATGCACTTTATATTTACTTGCTCAGATGAATTTGGGGTCTGTGGCTGCTTTAAAATGGCTACAAGTGACTTTCTTGACTTTTTTTTTAATTAAATGGCTCCAGCAGAGGCCATATTTTCAATTACTAGCCCTTGAAAATGGAAAAAAGAGCAATACCACCATTGTTTGAACATTTTGCACTTCTTTTTCTCATTTTCCAGGGCTAGTATATAAAAATATGGCCTCTGCTTGAGACACTCAAATATTTAGGTCAGCTGGAAGCAATTTAGTTTGTGTCCTCACCAAATTTCACGGCTATGGAAGTTATATTTCTGTAGATACTGAACCCTTAAAATGGCTTCCAAGTTATTGCTGTAGAGGCTAAAAACACAAAAGTCCCAGATCTGAAAACGTAAAATTACACATAACAAACAGCTCCTAATGCTATGTAAGGTTTAGTGCTTTCCCGGCAGGCTAAAATCTTCAGTCAAGAAGTTTTCTTCCCCATGTGGTAACATTTCCAGATAAGCAGTAAGTATCTAATTAATAATCCTGTAATAGTCACTGACATATTCTCTTTGACCTGACACATTCTGCATTCTTTCTTGCACAAAATGTCACACAAACATAACAATTTCATCTTCTTGTTTTAATAGAATTACAATTTCTCCCAGTAAAAAGAAATAACTTACAGATTTGTTATAGTCTATCATAATTTTAATTGGAAAAATATCTGGACTAAGCAGTGGAGGAGTCTTCTGTTACTTGTGGTGATGGATTATAAAGCTCGTTGGCGAAGGAAGAGTCGGATTCAGTTCCATGTTGTGTGCCCTGGAGGAAAATTTAAATTGAATCATCTGAGCTCTGTAAAGTTGTAAAATGTTCTCTCACCAATTCCTGTTTACTCACATCTATTTTGCAATCGTAGAGGTCGAACACAGCGTTCTGGTCGATCACATCATTATTCACAAGTGACTGTTGGTTCCTAAGACACACAAGTACAAATATAAGCCAGCAACATGAATGAGAGTTCTTCACTGTTATTAGGTAGATTATATGAATTATTTATAGATTGTCTACATTTTACTGCTGCACTTCCGGTTCAGCATGAAGAGGATAATGAAGATGACTACTCCAGCCAGCAGAGTCAGACCAACTCCAAGGCCAACAGTCAACGCATCTATAGACACAGAGAACCATGATGAGTGCACATGTCACATCAGCACCTGCATCTTTTATGCAGTCAATAAGAAATGATCTCATCAGTTGTTCTAATATTAACGCTGATGAAAGAATCAGGCTAGGGGGTAGTGATACATCTGAGCAGCCAACACATCTCTTAGTCCTCTGTACCACACACCTCCAATATCGTCAAAAATATAAAAACAACAACAAACATAAATGAGCCACACTGTTGCATGCAGGAGTCAATCCAGCACACACTGTCCTGCTGAGATACATGATTAACTCAAATATGTGTATATTTGTAATGTATTTCCTTAACAAATGCGCAATGTACTCCTGTTTGGTTCATATTTAAAGTGGCAACAGATTATTTTTTTAAATTTAGCTTTTCATTGTAAAGTACATTTGTAAAGCACACTGTAACGGTTGTATAATAATGACATCATCTGCATTTAGATTGGATCCCCATAAGCCTCACATTCAGTAATTCTGCCACCATATACAAAATGGTAAATGGTCTGCACTTATTTAGCACCTTTTTAACCTGAACTAGGTTCTACAAAGCACTTAATGTGTTTCTCTTCTGACTATTCAGTGGTGGTAGAGCTGCCATGCAAAGTGGTCATCAACCATTGGGAGCAAGTTTGGGTTCAGTGTCTTGTCCAAGGGACACAGAAGGCCCCGTTATTGAACTGCCAACCTTATGATTAGTAGAAGACCAGCTCTACCACCCAAATTCCTTGAGGAAAATGAAAGCCTGACTTACAGCACAGAGAAAGCATGGCTGAAACTGCACAAGAAAATAGCAAGATGATAGCACTTTTGTTTTTTCCTGGCAGCTATTCCCAGGTAGCCCAAAAGACAGATACCGGACATCTGGAGTGACTGTGGAAACTTTACTGGGCAAAACAAAAATTATGCTAAGTACAGGATGGAAACTAAGGTAAAACAAGAGTAAACCTCAGATGGGCGTTCACTTGACAGAGAAAGATCCGGTTCTTGAGAGGGTACAAAACCAACATTGCATCGGCTTTATTTCTATGAGAACAGTGAGTAACAAAACCTTAGTATTACAAATGGCTGTCTTTATTACAGCTCTGAGATAATTGTTTTTTTTCCAGCTTCCAGCTCTAACTCCCGCTGTAGCTCCATCTTTGCGCATAGCAATCCTCATACTGTTATTATTCCACATAAAATTATGACTACATGCTTCTTTTTTTCTCTCACACTAAGTGGTATTGGCTGTTTCGTGCCCTGTGTTGTTGGTAGTTGGAGGCTCTGTGGAAAAGCAATGTGGTCTGTGACGTCAGCAGTCACAGCACATTCAAAGGCCGGAGGGGAAAGTTGTCTGTAGACACTTTAAAAACACACAGCTGTTTTAGGAAACTACTCAGCTATTAAAAATGGAACTATTATTTATGACTCATTGTAAGTATTCTTTTGTTGAAATAAATGGGTGTGACACTGAGTGCAGACAGCGGGGAAGAACAACACCAGCTAAACTACTGTGCTATAAAGTGCGAGGTAAAAACCATATTTGTCTGAAATGCATTATGCAAGTAGTTGTTTGCACTAATAGGTATTTAGAAGAGATAGGTGAGAGGTGCATTGATCAATGGATGATCCTTTTTTTCTGATGTTCTGCAGAATATGTCACAGTTAAAAAAAACATCTGTTTACATATGATAGATGTCTATGCAGGGTTTCTGGTTACCGTGATCATCAGAGGGCTCAACGGTAGGCTCTGGGTAGCAGCTTCCAGGTTGGATGGAGATATCATCAAGAGCAACATCCCCAGCTGCATTCATCCCCCTCTGATACACAAACACAAACTGAAGCAAAAGAAAGAGAGACATGCTCAGAGCCAGGACAGAAATCTGGAAATTCAGTAGACACACAGGCAAATGGTCATGTTGTTACATGAGTTTTAAAGCAATTATCTAACACTCAGAATGTTTTTTCTTTGTAACTGACATTTGTTTCAAGTTACAGCCAGCTGTAGATGTTTAAACTTGTTTCTTCTGGTTTGAATTTTATGCATGCCTGCACTGCAAATGGTATCATGAAACAAAGAAACTTGTAAAACAGCTGCTCCTCAACTCAAACATTTACATCACAGAGATGATCTGTCCTGCCATGTCACATAAAAAACAAATCTTTTATACCACATTCAAGAGAGTGTTAAAACCAAGACAAGGAATGTTGAATTAAGATCATTCCCATCAAAGGAATAAAAATGTCCAGAAGTGATTCAGAGAAAGGGGGTCACTCCACCTCAATTCACCAAATATACACCATCATATAACTGGTTTGTATTATTCTATCCCAGCAGAGTTATACCATTAAACATCATATGCACACATCAATAAGTGCAAAAAGTCAGGACTCTAACTACATTATTTCTAAAGTTTTTTTTCAAATTTTCTTTCCTCAAACATTTCTTCACAGATTGGAGCAAAGAAAATGACACAAAAATCCACACCTTTAAGAATGTTTAACTCAAAAACTATTGCTGCCTTTGAGCCCAGATTTTACACATGGTCAACTCAATCAATATTTACCGCAAAAAAATCTGTCAAATTGACGATTGGGCATTCGCTGAGTTGATGCAGAATGATCCAAGGTTAAAACCTCATTTATCATTCTAATATTTTATGCATCTATCCTGATAAAACCAAACTTGTTATTACCCAGAATGCTTCTTCATGTTTAACATACACACTGGCTTCCTGCCACTCGTCGCCGTTGTTTCCTGTTTCAATCCACTTCAGAAGTCCGTCTTCACTGCCGCCTGCATGCATCTTCCTATAAAACATCAGCAGTTCAAATACATGTATTGCAAATGTTAATTAATATAAAGCTCATGTTTATTGCTGACAGTCATGATACCTTTACCTGTCATTTATGTAGAGTTTGAGAGTCCCAACATGGTTACCATACATGTGGTACCAGAATGTGACACAGTGTCCTCTAGTGGATGGCTGAAAAACATCACTGATCAGGTAGGACGTGTCTCCCCACTCGCCCACTGAGCTGTCCACGTAAACATAGTGACCTGGTGGACAGATTGAATGGAAAGATTAGTCAAAATAACAGCAGAAGGAACTCTTATAGTCTGTTATATCATAATAAATGTAAATACTGCTATCTATTTATTGCTCTTACTCTTATTTTTATTGTTCTAGTTTATTTCTGATTCTGGTAATGTCTAGCCGGTGGTATTTTGCAGTAAAGCTGCAATCTTGTATATTTCTGACCTGATTATTGTCTTCAAATTCATTTAGATTTGGTGTTTGTAGCTTAACCTCCAGTATCTGTTGAGGGCACTATTTATTACTCTGGTTCTGTTCTCAGTCGAACACTGCTACAACTTTCAAAAACAACTGAAAAAATGTCTGTCTACTTTCTCAGACTTATGATTAGTTCATTTGATTGTGTCTGTGGTTTTTACTTCCTACTGTCTTTAGATGGGCTCATGTTTGCTCATGCACTTGTATCTTGAGTTTTCCTGTTTCAGATAAATACATTTGCCTTGTTTCAGTAAAATACTTACGTACAAAGTAAATAAAACTGCTCTGGAACTGCTAATTGTGTATTACCAGTTGATGAAATGAGAAATGAGAAATATCATGTGACTCTGCAGCTCCTGTAATCCAACAGGAAATTAGCATCTTTTTGGCCATTGTTTGGATTTATTCCTTGCAGATTTACTGTCATTGGTTCAGTCAAATGCATTAGATTCGACAGAACTGTATTGATCCCTTTGGTCGGGTACCTCAGGGAAATTGTGGTTCTAGAAGCAGCACACACCGACAGAGACAATAATAACATCCATCCATCCATTATCTATACGCCGCTTAATCCTCACGAGGGTCGCGGGGGGGCTGGAGTCTATCCCAGCTGACTCAGGGTGAAGGCAGGGGACACCCTGGACAGGTCACCAGTCTATCACAGGGCTACACTCAGAGACAGACAACCAAGCACACTCACATTCACACCCACAGACAATTTAGAATCATCAATTAACCTCAACATGTTTTTGGAATGTGGGAGGAAGCCGGAGAACCTGGAGAGAACCCACGCTGCATGGGGAGAATATGCAAACTCCATGAGACATGTCAATTAAAAAACAGGAGACAGCTCCCAGTCGTACAAAAACAGTTGTACACAACCTGCTCCACACCAAACAGCGGACAGACAAGTTAGCACCTTGCGAGTGAACTGAAACATTTCCTTCAGGAGGTATCGGAGATCCAAAACCAAGGCAAAACTAGAAGGAATATTGGACTACTTGTGTAAATCTCTAACTTTAAACCCAAAAATAATTATGGCAAAGGGTTTTATAAAGTCAAATTCAGTATGTAGATAACAAAACCTCACTGCTGTTGAGCAAACTTTACATTTATCGCTCAAGTTTTGACCTGGTATTTGCTGTTAGCAAAGTATGTAACCACTGCTTGGACTTAATTTTGGTGAACAGGTCAAATTTTTTATTTTATCAAGGCTTCTGGGAAATTCTTTAGACCAGTTTCACTTTATGTTTTAGAATAGTCAGTAATGATGTTCAGCTGAACCAGTGGCAGTGATGTTTCTGTACATTTCCATAAAGGGGCGGTGATGTCTCTCTCATCCAACCTGTTTAAAGCCAGAATCACAGATTTCTATAGTGTGTGATTACCATGTGGAGAGCCAGTGGTGTGATCCACACTGGGTCCAGTGTTGGGGTTCGGGGAGGCTCCTGTGCCACGGAGCCAGTCTTCCTGGTCAACTTCTCCACCCAGGTTGCTCCAGCTACACATTGTACTCTCAAAGTCACAAAATCCAAAAGGAGGACACTGAGCATCTGTCAACTGGACATCATCGAAGGCCATGTCTCCCTCCTGGGTGGGGCCAGCCTTCACACCTTCCACCACAATCTGAAACACAAAGTGTGTCAATACTTACTGCAAATCTCAGTAGTAATAAGTGTCTTAGAAGCTTGTGTATGCAGATGTCATTTTAGTCTTTTAGATCACATTGTTTTTCAGATTTTATTGACACTGTTTTGGACTCTCAAGCACAGTGGGGCTGCAACAAACACTGTTACATTACTGGTTAATATGCATATTAATCATGTTGTTTATAAAATGCAAGAGAAGAGTGAAAAATGCCTGCTATAGCTTCTCATAGCTCAAGTTTCAAATTAGGAAGATTAGTAAAGATTAGAAGATTAGATGAGTTGAAGCCCAGGTTGCTTTGATATCAACCTCCAGCTCGTCTGTCTTGCTCATCTTTCTCTTGACGATACCGCAAATGAGGTTCTGTGGGGTTCAGGTCAGATGAGTTGGCCGATCAATCAAGCACAGTAATGTCATGGTCAGCAAACCATTTGGTTGTAGTTTTGGCTCTGTGAGCAGGTGATAAGTCCTGCTGGAAAAGGAAATCAGCATCTTCATAAAGCTTGTCAGCAGATGGAAGCATGAAGAGCTCTACAACCTCCTGGTAGATGCTGTGTTGACTCTGGACTTGATAAAACCACAGTGGACCAACACCAGCCGGTGACATGACACCTCAAATCATCACAGACTGTGTAAACTTCAAACTGGACTTCAGACATCTTGGATTCTGTGCATCTCCACTCTTCCTCCAGTCTGTTGCAGCTTTACTTTCCCAAATTTGCTTTCATTTGAAAAGAGGACTTTGGTCCGCTGAGCAACAGTCCACTTATTTTCTTCTGATGTTGTCTCTGATTCAGGAGTGTCTTGATATTAGACAGTTGTAGCTTCTTTCATGAAGACGTCGGTGCTTGGTGTGTCTTGATGCACCAACATCAGCACCAGTCCTTGTGAACCTCTCCCAGGTTCAAGAGTTGACTTTTGTTGACAAGCCTCTCAAGGCTGTGGTCATCCCTGTTGCTTTGCTTGTGCATCTTTTCTTATCACACTTCCAGTCAGCCAGCCTTTTTTAGCAGTGATCTTCTCTGTTCTACCCTCCTCGTGGAAGATGTCCATGATCGTCTTCTGGACAACAGTTAAGTCAGCAGTCTTCCCCAGGACTCTGGTTTTATGTACTGAACGGGACTGAGAGATAAACAGTACTTATGCCGTTTGAATAGTATTTTACTCAAAAGATATGTTTATTTTTAATGTTTTTGGTTTTTTTTTAGCTGTGGACCATAATTCTTGAAACGAAAAAAGAAAAATGCTTGAAACATTTTACTCAAAATTTCACTTTCTTGAATAACCTATGGAAAATATGAAACTCTTTCACAATCTGTTTGGTTGTATTAATAATATATATGAGAGATAATCTCTCTAGTCTTTGTCTTAAAATGACCTGATGTTGTTTTCAGCCCTTTTAGTAAATATTGTGAAAATGTTTATTGATGTTCTGATTTACTTCCATGCGATAGTGGTGGAAGAAGTTCTCCCATGCTTTACTTATGTAATATAGCAATACCACAGTGCAGTGGAAGTGAAAGTACAGTATCATCAGGAAAACTGAAGTATCAAGTTATGCAAGCACAATAACACATGGTAGTTTTATGCTGTTATATAATATGTTACTGTATTATAGTCAACAAAAATTATAATCACCAAAGCATTTAAATACACACAGCGTTTTAATGTTATATCTAGTTACACTGGAGCTGATTTGATCAATTTTATGCATGTTTATGTTTCAATTATTTTTTTTTTTTTGTTAAAGTTTAATCTGCAAAGTAACTATAGTGGTCACATAGTGTGGTTAAAAAGTACTGCAGCATGGAATAGAAAACCTCACATGTATGTATCTACAGTACCTAGTCTGTGTAGATATCTGTTCCCCCAAAATGACACCCCATTACCTATTGTGGGTGCGTCTTTGTGACTCACTCTGAAAGGCTGAACCCGAGGCAGAAGTGAAGCCTGAGCGAACCTCCACAGCCGGCCCTGGTCTCCCGTCTGAGAGAAAATCAGAGCCTCCTTCCCATCTTCACTCTGCTGATAAACATTCAGTGTCCCCATTCCTTCGCCATACATGTGGTACCACAGCTGTACACAAGATCCTTTCCCTGAAGGAAAGGTCACACGTGATTTCATTACTGAAACATTGCAGGGAATATTCACAGGAGCACATTTTTAATGCTCTCCTTTTCATATCCCTGTAAACTGCTTAGATGTCAAGTGAGGTCGGTGACTGCACATTACATCAACAACCTGTGAATTTATCGGACAGAGTGATGAGATCCAAGGCATTTAGAAGATACTGGAAGTGGCGGACTCAATCCTAAAATCACATTGTAATCAGATGGTTTAAATCAGGTGTCTTTCCAGTTTTTGTTCTGCCTGCCTTCGTTTGGACATACTAAAGTGACGGAGAGAGCCATAGATGTGAGATCAGACGCTACATCAAGTCACCTGTAATGCATAGTAATGCACTAATAAACAAAAGATTGTATAAATACCTAGCAGCCAACTGTCTGGCAAAGAAACCTACACAATGTGACTTGCTGTTATGTCCTGACCAATACTGTTTAATGTTGGGGATAATGTATGACTATAAGTAATTAGTGAAGCTACTGCTGTTGTTCCATGTGCATGAATGTGTGCAACTCTCTTGCTGTTGTTTGTAATCTCAGAGGAAAGACTCCTGCAACCAGATACAAGTGCATTGCTTGTGTGTATCTATCTGCTAATGCAACAGCGTGCAGTTCAGACTGTTGTATTGAGAGAAAGAAAAGTGACCAAGGTGTTCTTTCAGACATGAAGCTGGAGTCAGATTAACAGACTGCTTTGCATGCGTGAAAGGGGCTTCAGTCACATCAAGAGCTTAAATGAAAGACGAAATAAAAGCTCTCACCTGCAGGGTACAGTGGTGAAGACATTGCAGCTTTCTGGCCAGCTTGGTCGGCACTTGAGGAAGGCAGGTAGTAGTAAAAACCTGCAGGCGTGTTGGTGGTGTGGTCGCTGTCTGGTCCTGTGTTTGGGTTTGGAGTGTAACCCGAATGTCTGAGCCAGTCAGAGTCGTCGGTTGTCTGCTGCTGCCAGTTACAGCTCCCCTCCTCAAAGTCACACAAATCTATAGGACACGATTACATTTTAAAGAACATCTTTTTCAAATAATGCATCTACTTTGCATGTTAATATCTCGTTTCTTCTCTGCCTGATTGTTTTTTTTTTTTTTTTTTTAATGTTTGTTTATGGTTCAGTAACAGTTTCCTTTGGGTTATACTAACAATTGAGACAACTATTGTTATTTCTATGAAAAATAGATGTTGTTCTAAATTTTCTTATTGATATTGATCAAAACCAACAGCTCCAAGTAAATTTACACAGTCATCAGTGACTACTTTTACCTACACAAAATATCCGTCAGTGTGATTATGAGACTCACTGATATATTTTCAGTAGTCAGTGTGGAGTGACATCCGGCTACACAGACAAGACTTGTTAGCATTATGGTTTTGGTCTTTTCACAGGATTTGTTCACAATAAGAATGGGAGGGAAGAAGAAAGGCAGACAAGATTTTTTTTTTTTTTTTACGCCAACATTTAAGCATGTATTCAATCTATTCCTAGCATGCAGAAAATCCCAAATAATTGTCTTGATGGATACAAATACTACACTGAGACAGTGCTAAAAACATCTAATGCAATTTAATTAGGAATGTTTGCAAGTGCTTGTTCAAATTGAATCATTGAAATGATTGGGTTTTTATCTATATAGTAAAACATTGTACGGTCTTGGCCTCACTATGTTTAGTGCCCGTATGTTGTGTTGGTGTTACATCAATGAAGCTGAATTGAAATAAACAGAATATATTTTTTTTGTGATCACTTAAAAAATGTTAAAGACAGAATGATAAAATCCTAAAACCCATGTGAAATGGATGTTAGGATTTTCTCCAGCTGAGCCTTGTTACCAGAAGCAGGACACGGTCCATTAACGAGTGAGATGTCATCGATGGCTATGTCTCCTGCCTCTCCGCCCACTGTCGCCTCCAGAATCACTTGGTGGACTTCTTGCAAGGTCACATGGCTGTGAACCAGCAGCCACTCGTCCCCTTGGTTTCCTGATTTTTGCCACACCTACAGGAAAGACAGGAGGTTGATTCACTGATCTCAATGAGGATGTGAGGATGTTTTTGCAACACGTTGTTATGCACTGAAACTGTGCAGCTTGCAATCGTTATAACTTGCATTAATGTTATTTTGCAATAAGCATTTCACAACTGAGTGAAATGTATAATAACAGAGAGAGAAACCGGTGGAAATAGCCACAAATATTTCTCAATCAGATTCACAGCCGTTTTCTAACACTGCAGCAAAGGGAAGTAATGTGTCCAGACTTAAACTGAATCTTTAATGAAAAAAAAGTGGCCTCAGCTGACCTCTGGCACTTCTTTGCTTGATCAGATATAAAAACAAATTTGCTAATTGCATGCTGTCTTACCATTGTTTTCCTTAAGGGATCAACTGTCTGTAGAAACATCCTCAAGGAACCCACAGTAGCTCCAAACATGTGGTACCAAAACGTCAAACAGTATCCGTTTTCACCAGCAGGTGGCAGCAGTGAAGACTTCAGCTGGGCCACGTTTCCCTTTTCGCTCGGAGTGGAAGTCTTGATGTAAAGGTATTTTCCTGTGAAACAAATACAAGAATTACTTTCTGTTTTTTGAGCCCTAATAAAGTAAAACTTCAAAGGTTGCGTATATGACCAGTGAGGGGGCGATTTCCATGAATTTAGAAGTTTGAACAGGTTAAAAAGTGCAGAATTTAAAAAAAGAAAGTACAAAAAGCAAAGATTACAGAAATTGTAAGCCAAGAGTTTCTTCTTTCTGATCCTAGTAAATAACTTAGGACTCTTAAGATTTGTCTTTACATTTAT